AAATTTTTCCACGATGTTTCCAATATGTTTTCGTAAAAAATACTAATGTCCGATGAGAATCCACTGGATTTAAATTATTTGTAATGTTCGAAATTTATAAAGGTTCCTGGTCAAACATCTGAAGTTTTCCGATTGATAAACGTTATAATAACCACAATTATAGTTTCCAAAGTTTATAGCACGCTGACTATAGTGAACTAATAATAGTTTGTTTGCTTGTTTTGAATTACGCGCAAAGCTACACGAGGGCTATCTGCGCTAGCCGTCCCTAAGTTAGCAGTGCAAGATTAAAGGGAAGGTAGCTAGTCATCACCACCCACCGCCAACTCTTGGGGTACTCTTTTACCAACGAATAGTGGGATTGGCCGTCACCTTATAACGTCCCCACGGCTGAAAGGGCGAGCCTGTTTGGTGTGACGGGGATTCGAACCCGCGACCTGCAGATTGCGAGTCGAGCGCCATAACCACCTAGCCATGCCGGGCCGCTAATAATAGATTCTCCTCTTTTGGCGCGGCACGTTGGTTATACTTATAGACGTGTGGAGGTTTTCTAGAAATTTCAGTTTTACGTAACAAGACTGGCGCTAACACAAGCGTTTACGTACACACATATTGTTGATTCTTACTCTCGAGAATCTTCTACAACTTCCGAGAATAGGCGAGAGTTTCGCAATACATATTTAACAGTATAAGCTATGTATGTTTCTAAATATATATTTAATCTAAATAAATGTCGATATTAAAATAAATATATAATAGCAAATTCGTTACAGTCCTAAATTACCCACGGAAGCAAGCATTACAATTACACTCTATACATCATATTAATTTCTACGAGGCTTGGTACCTGCACCACCTGCTGTAATGAGTGCAAAAACACCCCAGGAAGGCCATAATACAGGAACTGAGTCAAGCAACTATAAATTTTACAAAACAATCGTTATGTTAGTAATCGACTAATTTTTCGGAAAACGTAGCTTAATGATAAAACATGAACGTAATAACCGGAAACATTTATTAAACCTTTCCGAATTTGTCCCCTACAAAGATCGTTTGCCGACTGCCCATATCTCGTCTACTTTTATACGTGTGAAAACTGTAAGGACTCCTATATTGGCGAAACCAAACGTCACCTTAAAGTCAGAGCATGTGAACACATGGGCATATCTATACAAACTGGAAGAAAGGTTACAAACCCTCTCAACTTCGCTATCTTAGTATCTATCAACACAATACAGAAACAGGACATCAGATTTCTCTCTCAAACATTAAAATTCTTTCAACAGCCAAACATGATACTGAACTTATAAAAGTAACATTATAAATAAAAACTTTTTCTGTCCGTAAATAACACACAATCTTCACTGGATTTAAACTTATTTTAACTATTTCACTTCTGCCTCAGCTTTCATTTTCTCGAGTTATATTTGTATATTCGAATTGTTTATTTCTTACGACGATTCCGAAACATTTAATAAATGTTTCCTGTTATTATGTTCGTGTTTTGTTTAATCGTTATGTTATTTAACCTTTACCGAGCTAAACGATTAGTACAAGGTTATGTCTACTACATCCTGGTTTCAAGGACCCCAACTAACTTGTAAAACATCCGCATGCACATTTATATAAAAAAAATACCTTAATATACCTAAAGAAAGGTGTATTCTTTCAGTTTCTAGTTACGGAAGAATGGAATTAGAAGTTTATTCAATTGCGACACAACTTGCAGAGGAAGTTACATATTTTTCATAATTATTTGAACTATAATAAGTGGATGTTTAGTCTCATCCTCGCTAAACGTTCTCTACGAAATTCAGTCCACAGTTTAAGGCTAGCTGACCTTGAACAAAGTCTCGTCACTCATTATTAATATGAACATAAAATTTCTCGAAGAAACAAATGGTCAGTTCAGCAGAGCTGAAAGAAAGAACGTGGCTCAGAACAACCAGCTCACTTTTTAACGTTATTCGGCTTATTGTACGAATATAATTTAAATCTAGTAGCAAGAATTTGAGTAGACTTAAACTATTAAGTAAAAAAACATACGAGCCAAATTACAATACTGTGATTTTAAGTTGAGTAGAACTCTCACGAGAAAATAGTTACTACGGTAAACTTAAGAGCTTCAAACACTATAGAATCAGAGATTCGATCATCGCGGTGAACACGACGCAGATAGCCCATATACAATTTTGCGTAAAGAAATCTTAATATTTTTTATTCATTTTTACAATTCAATTAGTCCCATATAGTAACAAAACCGTATATTTATAGTTGTATATAAACCAATTACGTCGTTGATTATATTTACACAACTAAATTATAAAGCTTGTAATCTGTAAAATATACTGTCAAGGAATTTCCAAGCTCAGTTTTAATATTTATATTATAAACAGAAACATAAAATGGATTTCTCTTAATCTTATTTAAGCACGGTTTTTCCTGAAACACGAGAGAAGTTTAATACTAAAGTATAAGATACAACTTCTTGTACAGCTAGTAAAACTAAAATATTATCATTGTTAGCTTTGGTATATAAAAAAAAAACACATACAAATTAATTATAACGATTTATTAGTATGTAGTTATAACTTCTACAGTTTGCCAGCTATTTGTATTAGTTTATTTGGTAGAGCTACATACCATGTAACAGTTACGATGTATATATAATCTGAAACACACTGTACTCTAATATAAATATAATACTGTAATACTGAGAACGGAAAAAATCAAAACCAACGATTACTGAGAATAATATTAATAATAATAACAGATAAGGTAACTAGGCAAGACTTCATAATTTTTTCACAAATATTATTGCTTCAGAAAAGAAAAAAACTCGTATAATTTATACAAATATCAAGTGATCCAAATATATTAACTAAAGACAAATTTAAGTGATAATACTTTAACAAACTTACCACATAAAATTCCCGTAAGGACTAGGAATGGAAGACGAATCATTTTTGTGCAAACTGCAGTGCACTACCACTAACGTGGGAAATAACGTGCAGTTGGCGTACGAATAGATATAAGGCCTCACTTTTTTTCTGTAATTTCGGTTTGATAGTACTTCTGTAGCATTTCAACATGTCACTTTTTCATTTTGTCATTGATCTGTTGGGTTTAAGAATATTTCGAGTCGTGTTTCCAAACGCCAAACATCACTTTAAAATGTTTCGTCACAAAGAACCTACTATACTTACAAGAAAAACAACGACTACCTGACTCAGAAAACCAGTGCCCCACATTTACTCGCTGAACAATTTGTATCCACCATCAGCTTCTAGTAAGTCAACCTGTTTAAGTTTTAACAGTTTAGATTTAATTTCAAAAATTATCAGATCATTCGATTCCCATGCCTTGATTGACAAGTAAAGAAAACGAAATCATATTCCATGTGCTTTAATAAAATAATGGACACTCGTCAAAGCCGTAATCACTTAACCCTAAAAATATGGATAGTGTATGTACTCCTACTTCCTTGTAAGCATTACTCGGATTGGCTACAAGTCATAGCTTGAGGGTAGTAGCAGTACCTGAAGTGTAAAGGGAACAGGTTTACGTTCCAAGTGGAAAGACTAAGAAGGTCGTGCTTCATAATAAAGGCCTCAATATTCAAATTAACAAAGCAGTACCCACGTATTTCTGTAGGCTTAGTGCAGACCCTACAGAAAATAATACCCGTTTTACAGCCGACTGCTGAATTGTTCTCATCTAAATTCCTACCAGTTGTAGCTTTTACAGAATGGTTCGCTAGGCCTATAATACGGCAGTTTAAAACCAATATCGTATCCAACAGACTATTTTTATAATTGACTTTTTGAATACAACACATAGGGAAAATTATATTCGTAACCATATCTCATGCGAGATTGTAAGTTTTGGATAACGACAGATAGAAAAATGCTAATTTTTGTTTCTTATTGTAACATTATTTCATGACAAAGTTTTAAGATAACTCTATATCATCCGAATCACTCATAATATTTAACACACGTTACGTATGTTTGTAAGTAATACATAATAAATTCACACACGCGTGATCCTGTGTTTGAAAATATCGCCTAAATAATAATACGCATAAATAAAATATAAATAGAATCTCAAATAAAATACTGATAAATATGTGTTTGTGCCTAACGTTCTAACTTTATGGTATACTCTGATGCGCGGATTTCCAGCAGAGCAATCAGTTAAGGTGCGATAACAGGAGGTTCGGCAAATATTTTGCAGCATGTGTGGGTCTGTTACTTTCGGAGCTCTAACACTAACAGAGTTCGTAACATATAAGGAGCTGACCAGGCCATGAATGACGCATGGGGCCCCATTTTCGACCTTAATTTGTAAAAAACTTAATATCACCTATTATCTTTTGAAACTTTTTCTTGAAAAATGTTATTATTTATATTTCATATTGAGAGACAAAGATTCTATGTTTTAAAAAATATATTTAAAAAATTTAAAGCAATTTATGTAATTGAAGCTTTAAAACGAGGTTCTGTGAAACTCCTTTTTGCAACGAGGATAAGCTTTTTTGGTGACAACGAAATGCTGAATTCACCACAGAATGGCGACTTCCTATGTATCATGGCAGTAATTCCTAGGTGATCATCTTTCTAAGTATGGAAATATTGGAAGCGGTCACACAAATTGTCTTCCTTTGCTTTTTGTGAAATCATAAAGCTCATGACTAACAAAATTCTGAGGTATACAACAGCAGAAGTGAAGGAGACCAAATATTTTGGGATTATTGTTGATTTGACATGAGACTTTACACACATAGGCCCACTGATGCTAATATTGAAATATGTGAATGAGGCACGTGAACCATTAAAGCGTTTTGTCAAATTTCAACATATTCACAGACACGATGCAGAATAGGCGGAAGTTTCGCAATACATATTTAACACTATAAGCTATGCATATTTCTAAATATAAACTTAATCTGAACAAACGTTGATATTAAAATAAATATATAATAATAAATCCGTCACAACATTTATTTCAATGAAAAGTAAATAGTTTGTAGCGATGTGTATCTGTCTATGATAATTTATTAAAGTTAAACTAGAGTAGCAAGTTAGGCTTATGTTTCCATTTTCTCGAATCTTCCATCATCACTCTGAAAACGATGTTGTCTCTATGTTATTGTTTACGTCGAAGTTTGGTGGACTAGGAGGGTCAGGTACACTTACTCCAACCGTAATGTAGGGTACAGCTCACGACCAATGTACGAACTTCCATGCAGCCGATAAGGACACACGAAATATACGTGATGGTTGATGGGTATTATGGATCGTCTCTGCACTAGCACAATGCACTAAAATGTTGCCAATGTTTAATTTTATACCTCTGTCAAAATTAAACACAAACAGTCCAATTTTAACACAACAAAAAATTGCATTCAGTGTTATCTACTTAAGTGGCCAAAGCTAGAATAATATTAATAGAGGAAAAACATTTAACACAGTAGCGAACATTTCAAACTTTGATGAGGGTGGCAAGACCCATTGATAATCCGACAGACTGAAACTGAGAGATATTGTATATTTATGAAGTTTAACGTTTATAGATCCAAATCTGTGGGACTTGATTTCGTAATATAACTATTTGATGCTGCCTAAAAGTTGTTACTGTAAATATTCCAAAACTTTTACTTGGGAAATCATTCGAAAGTTGTCTGGTAATTTTATGTACAGCAATACATTTCAGCAATGATTTCGCACAACTTGGGATTTTCATAGTTGAAATTTGAAAAAAAAAAATCAATCAATCAAAGACACCAATCACTGAGTCCTGTAGAACGTACTTGCTAATATATGCATGCACTATGTAGATGCAAGTGATATGGGTGGCTGGGCCAACATAGATTTAGGATTCATGATAAAACATGTAAAGTGGTGGACTAATGTTTAATGACGTGATCCATATAATTTTCGAGAGCCTAATCCTCTTAATATCTGCCACGGATTTAACCTTATTGTTATCATATATAATAAACTTCCCTAGATCGCATTGGAGGATATTTTTTTTTCCGAAATAGTTAACGAACATTGAAGAAGTATACCTAGCAACAAATGGAGGATTTCATAGTGACGATGTTTGTTTGTTTGAATATATGCTCAAAGCTACACAATGGGCTAACTGTGCTC